ACAAGACCAGCCAGGTGATGCCGTGGTGCCATTAGAGGTGGGGCCTGTGGGAGGAGGGACAGTGCAGATGGGACTGGAAAGTAGATCAGGTGTGACCCAGGGTAGTGATGGGAAGAGATAGTACATAAACACGCCCATAGTGAAGATGATCTGATTCCCACCGCTGTCAGGGACCAGCCTAGGATGCCATGAGCAGAAGCGACCCTCATCTTCAGGTCGCAGTGAGCAGGGCTCAAGGGTGGAGAGAAGGCGGCCAGCAGAGGGACAGGGAGAAGGGCCAGACCAAGGAGAGCGGTGGTCATTGGCAGAAGGAGGTGTTGCCCATGGACTGGAGGTCAAGACAGTCCACAGCCTCTGATCCCCACCCCGGCCTGTTACCAACCAGAAGTCCTTTGTCCCAGCCTACTCCCATGCCAATGACACAGCCAGGGGTGACCATCTTCTCCAACACCAGTATTCATTACCCAGACTGTTGGTGATATGATGGCTCTGTGTCCTTTGGCAGCAAGGCCTGCAGATGGCAGTATGGAATGACTCCGAGTGTTTTTAAGGAAACCTTTAAAAATGCCTCTTGGGATGGGACACTTGCACAGCTGCCCAAGATGCCTGTCTCCTCTTACCTGGAGCTGCTCGGGCACGGGTGAAGCCCATCCTCATCCTGCAGGTCGTGTCAGTGAGAGGCAGCTCTGGCAGAGTGCAGCTGTGTGGCCAGCCTGGCTTGCTCTGGACTTAAGTCCTTCCCTGCTGTCCTGCAGTTGCCTTGCTCCGTGTCCCACTTCAGCTCCTGGGAGTGGGAATCTCCTTGCTTACTGTTCCTCCAAACTGCAGGGATTGATTTCAGACTCCAGCTGGGCTCAGAGGTCCTGAATGCAAAAATTATTTCTGTCTTCATATCCTTTTAGCCTGACTGTGTGCAGTATCTTGTTTCTGTAGTCAGATTAAAGCCATAGCACAAAACTTAAATGTTACGACCCATGGGAACACAGGAGCATCCTGGGTAAAGGCTCCAGCGTCTGTCCCAGAGGAACATCGCTGCAGCAGGCCGCCTTCCATCTGTGGTGCTGAGAGCCCAGGAGGAAGGAAGCCTGGCTGTCTAGGGCCGGGTGCTGCGGGTGAGACCATGTGCTGCAGGGCAGATGGGGCGTCCCTCCCAGGTAACATGAATGGAGCACCTTGGTGCAGGTGTCCCGCTGCTCCACATGCCGAGCTGCCCAGGCCCAGGCATCGTAGTATCTGGGGTTTAGTTTTGGTTTTGTTTATTGGGGGTTTTTTGTTTTGTTTTGTTTTGTTTTTGTTTTTTTATGTTCCTATGAAGCTCTTGATAAAATAAAATTGCCATTTGTGCTTCTTCATGGTAATGTTTTTGTCAACCAGAAAAGAGTATCATAGTTTATGTTCTCATCTCAACCTTGGACTTCCTGATAAGTCTTTTTTTTTACCGGGGATTGAACTCAGGCCTTTGTGCTTGCCAGGGAAGCGCTTATTCCACTGAGCCATCTCCCCAGCCCCCCTGATAAGTCTTGTAAACTTAGACACAGACTAGAAAGTTTCCCAACTTGGAACTGCTCCTAGGCTGGGCTGGGCCCACAGCTGACGGACCCCAAGGGCACTTGATGGGCTGACTCTGGCTCCTTCTCACAAATCTGCCTAAAAATTCCTCCCGCCCTCCACTGGAGGGGAGACCAGTCTCCGCACCACCGCAGCTCACGTTTGTCTTCATAGGCCTTCAGTATTTGCAGTGGCCCCAATGCACATGGGTCTCCATGCAGTGCCCGTCATGGTAGAACATGTGGGGACTCAGAACATGATACCCCAAAACATGCTGCCTCGGATGGCTGAGAGCACTTGGGGAGCAGCTAAGGACCAGATATGTGGAAGAACGCAGCTGGCTCTTACTGATGCTGCACTCACCCATGAAGTTACACATGCATCATGTGTAAGAATAGGACAGTACACCCACACCCAGGGGGCTTCCCTCAGGCCCGTCTGCATGAGTTTCAGCCTCAGTCACCTGCTCTGGCTCCCGCATGCGTGCGCACTTTAGGTCTATGATTGTGCTTGCTCTCCTGCTCCTCTATTGTGAGTGAGATGCAACAGATTCGGTGAGCAAGCCTACAGAGGGACAGTTGGAGCTTCCCAGAAAGCAGGGGGACAGACTGCACTTTGGCCTGAACACAGATGCCAGGCCCCTCTCCACCATGTCTCCATGTCTGCTTCAGGGGTTGCGCTCAGCGCACAAGGGCATCTATACAAGCCCTGAGACTGGATCCCATGCAAACAAGTTTTTCTTTTGGAGGAAAGCAGGTATTGCCCACAAGCATAGGCACATCCAGGTTTCGCTTCTTTATTCATTCAGCTGAAACAGAGTATATGCCAAGAGTCCTGTGCCAGGATTTCACTGAGCCTGGAAATCCAGAGGTAGCTAACAGGATTCGTTCTGGAAAGGCGAAGTCTTCCCAACACAGCCCAGTGTACAGTGGCTTATTCAGTAAGTGAGGGGTGAGGCGAGGAGGTGCTTCAAGAGGGAGCATGGATGATTGCTCAGAAGCCTCGTCTTCTGCTGCTGAAGAGAAGCCTGTGAGGACCAGCCCCCAGTGCCTTGGTCCGTGGTGAAGCCCTTCGAGTGCCTTCCCTCCCTCTTCCATCTTCCCAGTCATTTAATCACAGAGGCGTTGCCTTATGCGATGCCTGGTAACTGCTTGCAACTGCAAAGTCATGCACCAGCCAGGCATGTGCACTGGGGAGGAGGGCACCTCTCTCATGAAAAGCGGAACCTGAGCGAACGTCTCTCCTCTAGGCTCAGAGCTGTGGCTGGGAAGGTTCAGCCAGCCCGGGTCCTGGTGTCAGCAGCGCTCGCCTTCTGCACCAGCTACCTCAGCAGCAAACACTGAGAATGCAGAGCGCCGTGGGCGGTGGGTGGGTTCTGCACCAGCTCCGCCCTCTCAGTGCCTCCAGTGCCTTTCTTCCTGAGTGCTGAGATTTTCTTCCCTGTGGGATCCCATTTACCTCCCTTTTCTGCTGGGCTTCTTGCATATCCTCTTTGACGTGGAGGACTCTGGCTCAGGGTCCCCAGGAGAGTCGTGAGGGTATGGCTCCATCCAGGGCCACCGTGTGGCATGGGCCTGGTGTATAATGACTGCTTTTGGTTGCTGAGGCCTTGTTCACAGGCATCCCCCGGGTATGGAAGTCTGGCATGCTTTGGGCACAGCCAGACTCCCCATTTCTTTTCATGAGCTCAACTCCTGACTTGAGCCTGTTCTTCCTACTTTGCATTTGAAAGTAGCAGAGTCACTCGTACACCTGCGCACTTGAGTTGGTCCTCTTCAGGGGGCATTCTTTTCTCTTTCCACCTGGGTACAAATTTCCTGTGTGCAGATCTGTGTGATTTGTGTCTGGCTTCCTGAGTAGAGGTGTCTCATTCTAGGGAAGGGCAAGTTTCTGGCAACTGTGGGCCTTCCCCATAGGGTAAGCACAGCCTCGGGTGTACAGCCACATATGGATCCTTTCCTTTCAGATTCTTTTCTCGTCCCATCTTGGAAAAATGACCGGTGCCTTTTCTTGTTTGTGCTTGTTGTTTAGAAAGCCAAACTTGGCCCCGCTGGTAACAAAGTAATCAGTCCTTCAGAAGACAGGAAACAACCTTCCAATAACCTTGACAGAGTGAAGCTAACGGACTTCAATTTCCTCATGGTGCTGGGGAAGGGGAGCTTTGGGAAGGTAAGCAGCGCTCGGGCGGACAGTGCTGGCTGGCTCGCTCTGTTCTGGCGGGGTTTCCAGAGCAGCCCTTTCTGTTGCCATGCTATTTGTGCACATTGTTCAGATGCCTCCCGCCTTGTGTCCTTGAAAAATCTGCTCCCAGGAAGCTAGAGGAGGTGCCTGTGTGCCCCGCCATCTTCCAGTGCTCAAAGCAGGGGGGACGTGCTAGTGCTTGTCGAATGCACCAGTGCTCATGGAGTCCTCAGTGCAGCCCATAGGCGTCCTCAGTGCAGCCCATAGGAGTCCTCAGTGCGGCCCTTAGGCGTCCTCAGTGTGGCCCATAGGAGTCCTCAGTGTGGCCCGTAGGAGTCCTCAGTGCAGCAAGTAGGAGTCCTCAGTGCGGCCCATAGGCATCCTCAGTGTGGCCCGTAGGAGTCCTCAGTGCGGCCCATAGGCATCCTAGGTGTGGCCCATAGGAGTCCTCAGTGCGGTCCCTAGGCGTCCTCAGTGCGGCCCGTAGGAGTCCTCAGTGCAGCCCGTAGGCATCCTAGGTGTGGCCCATAGGAGTCCTCAGTGCGGCCTTTAGCCCCCAGCTGTGCATCTGCATTTGCCCTCTGTGGCCCCAGATGCTGAGATAGAGCTAGGGGCAGATTTCTCAGAAGAACATGTATAGTTCCAGGCTAATCCCAGTGAAGAATGCTGAAATGCCTTTTAGTAGCCAAATAACATTGTGTAGAAATATACCTTACAGTGTACAAATTCTACCAATGGAAGAAGGTAAACAAAGGTTGGGGGAATTTCCATTATGGTGCTATCCCATATTTCAGTATTTGGACTTAAATGTGTGTGAGCATATATGACAATGTCTCAGGCAACTAGCTCACCGAGTAGCGTTTGACCTTGGCTCATGGCTCATGTGCAGCAACCCATCACTGAGGGGTCCCTACTTGAGTCTCTGCCAAGGCAGCACATCCTGACGCAAATGTATGAGAGCAAAGTGCTCTCCTCGTCAGCCAAGGAGCAAAGAAACAGGAAGCGGCTAGGATCACCCAACCCCCAGGTGCAGCACAGTCCATCACCTGTGGCCCTGCAGGGCCTGGCCCTGAGGGGCTTTCCTGCTTCCCAGCAGCGCCACCTTGGCACTGAGCACTTGTCTCGTGGACCTTCAGGAGACACTGCCCACCTTCAGACTGCAGCAGTCTGTGGGTCTTCCCACCACACATTTACAGATGTGCCTGCGCTGCTGTTGCACCTTCCCCCCGGCCTGCTTCCTCCTCCCCCAGCCCAGCCCCTAGAAGCAGGTTCTGCTCTCAGGTGTTCAGCTTGCCCTCGGTCTGTTCTCAGGTGATGCTGGCTGACAGGAAGGGCACAGAAGAGCTGTATGCGATCAAAATCCTGAAGAAGGATGTGGTGATTCAAGACGACGACGTGGAGTGCACCATGGTGGAGAAGCGCGTGCTGGCCCTTCTCGACAAGCCTCCGTTCCTGACGCAGCTACACTCCTGCTTCCAGACTGTGGTGAGGACGCTGGGGCTGTGCACATGGTGCAGCACCCCGCCTACTCTTAAGGCAGTCCCTGAGCCAGAGGACCGCAGCATCCCCAAGGAGAGGTGGAAAGGGATGCCTGGGGCAGTGATCACCTCCTGCTCACTGTAGGCCTGGGACGTATGTTCTCTGTGGTGTCTCTGGTGATGCCTGCTCTGGATGGAGGATTAGCATTCATTTCACTGAATTCACCAAACACAGTTGACCTTCTGTATCCTCACAGATCTCACCTACCATAGATTGAAAAAAAAAAATTGAAATCACATCTGTGTTGGACATCATTTGTGACTATTGTGTAAACAATGCAATATACCAACTATTTGTGTAGCTTTAACATTACATTAAGCATTGTAAGTAATCGGAGTGCGCTCTGGAAAGCTGGCACAGCACAGACGCAAAGATGAAATCAAAGTTCATAGCAGAGAGGCTGGAGGGGCTCCCAGAGCTGCTTCTAGCTGTTAGTCCAGCTTCCCCTCCTCTCACCTCTCCTCTCTTTTTCCTTTCCTTATGCAACACTTTAACAACCTCTGTGAAATAAAGATGTTTTCTAGAAGAGAACAGAGATTAGTGTTTACCATGGTGTGCTGTGCCATTAATTCTTTCACCGTTAAATTCTGTAGTCTCCCCCATTTTTCTCAGCATAATAACTATAAATATGCAGACCTACATGGTTCTTTGATGTATGCCCTTCGTGGGGCCAACACTTAGCATACATACCACTGACAGAGAAAATAAGGTACTTGGGCACATTACAGCTGCAAAAGAACATCTGATTGGCCTCTCCCTTCGTGGTAAGAGCCTCTCGCTGTCTCGCACCCAGGAAACATCAGTAAGCATGTACAATTTATAAGACCAGCCTAGCCCAAGAGATGCGTTTTCAGAAGCATCCATTTAAACCAGGTTCTCTACCAGGCCAGCAGTGCCTCCTACACACTGCAAGTCAGCTGTTAGGCTTTCACACCATCAAGAAAAACTGGTTAAAGTGAAGTGATTGGCCCATGTGCATTCTTCACTCTTTCCCTAGCTTAGATATATATGTATAGGAAAAAAGAGAGAAAGAGAAGAATATTGAGACCATTAGTATAATTGGCAGCATACGTAACCAGGAGGCAGACGTGGACAGAGAGCCCGCAGTTCAGTTATGTAATGACCCTCATGCGGTAGGGTGTACTAGTCTCCCTTTCTCTGAGAAAAAAATGTGAGGAGATGTCGGCCAAGCAGACCAGGATGAAGGCAAAGCGGAGGTGGCGCAATGAGGAGGAGCCTCGCTCACACGTGCACCTTCTCCACAGGACCGGCTTTACTTTGTCATGGAGTACGTCAACGGTGGGGACCTCATGTACCACATCCAGCAAGTAGGGAAATTTAAGGAGCCACAAGCAGTGTGAGTATTTTTTTTAGGTCTTGCAAATCGGACAACCCTCCGCTCCCACCTGGGAACTGCTGTCGGATAAACTGTTCACGGGTAGCTCTGCTCTTCTGAGGTCGGACGCTGTAGCATCCCAGGGCACAGATATATCAACAGACCCACCTAGATGTTGTCTAAGGAGGGTTTTATTCTGTTCACAGGAAGTTGGAGCTGTTGCGTCTCCCTGTGTCACCTGGGTCCTTCCTCAGGAGTGGTCTCACACGTTCCCCAGACACAGGGCTACCACACCCTCACTGTGTGCAGGCCCTGGAATGCAGGGGCACCTCCACCTTGGGGCACTCAGGCTAACGGCATTGGAGGGAGGAGTCACTCGAGTCACTGCTGAGCTTTGCGAGGTGTGCCCAGGAAGCCATGCTGGCATCCCGGAATTGGGCAGTGACAGCAGCGAGCCCTCAGGGATGGAGGAAGGGGCTTCCAAGAAGAGGCTGTGAGCGGAAGCAGAGCTTGTCCAAGACATGGCCTGTGGCTCCCTATGTGTCGGAGGCAGTGAGAGCAGGGAGGAGTTGGCAGGGGCAGCAGATGCAGTGCCCGCAGGGCAGAGACTGAGGCAGAGGCCTCAGAAAGCGCCCATCAGACTCGCTGCACCCCACTCAGTTCTTGCAGAGCCCTGGGCTGAGGGAAGAAGCAAGGATTGCGGATTATGCCAGAGAACACGGAGCTGGAATGAGAGCTCCAGCTTGGAGCCCAAGAGAAACAGATGTCCCTGCAAACGTTCAGAGGGACAGATGCACAGCTAGTTGACTGTCTCTGTCGGGGAAGCCTGGGGAAGTTGGGTGGAGGTGGAGGTGTCAGCATGGAATGGTTCACGGGGGTGGGCCCTGGGGGTGGGCACCCAGGTGAGGTGGAGGGGTCACACATGGGATGCCGGGGCCCTTGGCACCTGAGCCAACAGCCTGCTTCTCAGGCGCTGGGGGTCTTAAGGAACTCGACAGAAGCAAGCCTGAACAGGACTGAGCAGGGGTGTCCACCTGTGAATCGTTAGTAATCGTTAATAAGATGTAATCATTAATAAGGTTTTGGGAATGTCCCGTCTAAACCAGCAATCTTAAGTTTTGACCTGTGTGGGATGGTTTGCCTTGCAGAATGTTAACCAAAGGCAGAGTAGGGGATTTGTTGGTCATGAGCTTTGAAAATAAAGCGGGGGGTGGGGAGGGGTTCTGCTTTTATTTTCACTACGCCAAGTATTTTCAGACATATTCTTATCCCTTCTCTTAAGAGACTTTGGAGTAAGAGCAGCATTAAAATGTTGCAATTGTGAAATAAAGCGGGAAAGCACAGAGCCACCAGATCAGGTAGCAAAAGGCCACTTTCTATTGTAAAGCAACCTGACGTGCCTCAGCCAGTAATCTTTCATTCTATATGTGTTGTAGAAAACTTTAAAAATGTATAGAAAATCATGAAAATAGGGGCCAAGGAGATAGCTCAATGGCAAAAGTACCTGCCTGGCAAATGCAAAGTCCTGAGTTCTATCCCAGGCACCAAAATGAAAAAGAAAAAAAGCAGTGTAACAACCACCCATAAAGCTGTCTTTCCTCTCCCCCATTTCACCCTCCCCTGCTACTTTTTAGGGGTAGCCCTACTAAAAGCTGGATCTTAGGGGCTGGGAAGCTAGCTCAGTGCTCTAAGCACCCACCTGGCAAGCACAAGGACCGAGTTCAATCTCCAGTACTGCATGCTGTGCCCGCCCAAAACCAGGCGTGGTGGCATGTGACTGTAATCCCAGCACTAGGGAGGCTGAAACAAGAGGATTGATACTAATCCAAGCTGCACAGGGAGACTCTGTACCTAATTAATTAATTCATTAAAGATTAAAATTTTTAGAAAAAAAACAAAAGCTGGGCCTTCATTGTCAGGGAGTTCTCTTTCCTGCCCACATAGGCATATGTGCTTATTTTATGCCTCCTGGAGGTGATGTTGGCCCAGGCACAAGTCCAAGGCCTTAAATGCTATGCAAATTTTGAAACATCCTTCCGCATTTAATCTGAGTTTCTGATATTAGCCTATTAATGACTTTGAAGTAATGGTACCAGCTGCCATTAAATATTATGCATTACTTAACAGGACAACCTCAGATATGAATTGTCATGTATTCCTTTTATTGCAGCACTTAAGAGAATGAATAAACCAGCTGAACAGCTCATTGCACACTGTAGTTTGTCTTCCAGGGAATAGCTGTGTTGTCAAACAACAGTATATTCTGTCCATGAATAGGAAAGCAGACTTCTTCTCTCCTGTACCATGTCCCTGACCTCAAATGGTCTAACAGGTACCCACTATTTAAGTGATTATATTGGGAATCACTTCCTAGGTAGTAAATTACCTACCCATTCTTTCCCAAGGGGACAAAATAATAAACCTGACTTGTCAACTGTTCTGACTGGCTTTTCCGGGGTGAGCTGGGATGCTGGAATGGCAGAGAGAAGGGCTGATGGCCAGCGAACACGTGTGGGGGGACGCTGCTCAGAAAGCCGTGAGGTCTTGCACTCCTATCTCTTTGCCTGGATTTGAGACTAAAAACATATCCACAAGTCCAAAGAAGCAAGCCAGAGAGCTGAAGCACATTTTCTTTTGCAGATTCTATGCCGCAGAGATCTCCATTGGATTGTTCTTTCTTCATAAAAGAGGAATCATCTATAGGTGTGTATGAAAGATCGTCTCACAGCCTCACAAAGGACAGGTTTGTCGGGCCTGGTGTGCACACGGTTCTGAGACAGAGACTTCAGATGTGTAGATAATCATCCCCTGGGAAACAGACCCATTGGCACCCACCTCTCTGCAGACTTGTGGCAAATCAGAGCCACCCTCTGATAAGATTTTATATCTCATTTCTACTTTACACAAGAGAACGTTTTCTGTGTGTGTTTTTTCTCTACCGGCAGCACCTTCCTCTACATTTTATTTGGAATGGAGGTTGTAGCAGTGGAAAGCGAAATGCTTTTATAGACACTCAGCAGGAAAAGAACAGGAGGAGCAAGGAGAGGCAGGGGGAAACTATTGAATTAAATTCTTTTAGTCATAGGATGCAGTGAAATTCTGAGGCCATAAAAAGAAGAATGTCTTTCAGAATTAATTGAAGAGAAACTAGAAGAACACTGGTACAGGCATGATAAAGGGCCCTTGAGGTCGTCCTAAACCCAGAAGCTGGCCAACGCTGTGCAGGTAGGAACACATCAGATGGCTGGGATCACTCCAAACCAATAGGTGGGAACTGAACCCACAGGCACGGCCAGCATCAGGAATCACTGGTTCAGCCGGTTATTCGTTCACTGTTTCGGCACCTTCCACATGCCAGGCTTTCCATTAGATTCTGAAGGTACAAAGCGCAGCAACTCCAGACGCTCCTCTCCAGGGACTCGGAGTGGAAGTGCCGTGCAGATGGCGGCTAGTCAAACACCTGTCTGTCCCACCAGCTCCAGAGTAAACAGCGATTGTTGTGGGAAGGACTCTCATGCTAGCCTTCTTCCTTGCAGGGATCTGAAGTTAGACAATGTCATGCTCGATTCAGAAGGACATATCAAAATTGCTGACTTCGGGATGTGCAAGGAGCACATGATGGACGGAGTCACGACCAGGACCTTCTGTGGGACACCAGATTATATCGCCCCGGAGGTAGGCACCCCACTTCCCCACGCTTCCTACAGGAGCACTTGCAAACCATAAGCACACCCCTGCACGGAAGTGTGGGATGATTGGGGCATCGCCAGGTCAGTGTGTGGGTCATGGCCACTGAATGGACTCAGCGAGCCAAAGGAGACGAAAACGGAACAAGGAACTAGGAGAGCATGTCGGGCACCGGGAGCCCGGAACTGCCTTCTGGGTATGTGTGAGCCACGTGCCTAGTAGCAAGTATTTCTTACATGGCCATGGTGAGAATAATCCAAGAGAAACCGTGGGGCAGGAGAGTTGCTGCTGACACTGCTCTGCCCAGGAAATCTGAGTTAGAAGGTGGTTGCCTTGACAGCTTCGCAGCCTCCAAGTAGTGAGTGCTCGGAGCACGATGATGCTTCATGTGAAGGAGTGTGTCAGCACAGTGACACTCAGAACCCGGTCCGAGCTTGTACCTTTACAGTACTGGGCTGTACCACTCTGTCTTTGCTAGAACCTTGCCAGGAGTTCCCTGCTATTTCCTGATGCTTCCTATGTGCCAGTGTAGCATGGGCTATCACTCGGGTCTGTGGCCCACTTTGTGCCCACGCACAGCCCTGTGGATGCAGCCCTTCCCCCCGGTGATGCGGCACGAGGGAAAGCAGTCATTTGAAATTGGGTCAGCCGGAGATCTTCGTGGGGCACTCATGTTGGCTGTTGGTTTTATATCCCATATTGTTTTTTTTTAATTTTTAAAAAATTTATTTGTCTGATACAGGGTCTCACTATGCAGTTCAGATTTGTAGTGATCCTCCTGTCTCAGCCTCCCCTGCACTTGGACTATAGGTGTGTGCTACCACGTCGGCACGGCACGCCCAGGGTTCCAGGTCCAGCAAGCATGTGGTACCAGGGATCAAACTGAGATCCTTGTGCTTGTCAGGCAGGCTCTTAGACCACCGAGCTGTCTCCCCAGCCTGCCATGTCCTTTTGACATGTCACCCCTTAAATTTATCCCAGACACCATATGAACAAAGAAAAAGGCAACTTTTGAAGTCAGGGCAGTCTGAGCACTGATCTTGACTTCATCGTTCACAGCTGTGGGAACACAGACGCATTCCTTGCTGCGGAGCACCCTTCCGTAGCGGCAAGTTAGGGGAGCTGTGTTTCTCCCTGCTACGTGACGAGCCCAGCGCTTCTATTCTGTACCTGGTATACCATCATTATTTGTACTGTGTATGACCCTCAGAGGAAGTCATTTATGCCAGAAGGGAAGACGAGTTTTGTCCCTGTCTTAACGACCTGTTATTGTGGTGGTGGTTGTCATGTTCCTGGACAGCACTGTAAAAAACTTTACTTAGAAACTCAAATTGTGAATGATGTGGCCAACGATGACTTTTTTCCTCTAAAAGCTCACTCAGTACTTGCATAAATAACCTGAGTTTAGGTTTTTTCAAATGTGAAAAGTGCTGCTTCTTGACACAGCACATTTTCTGAAGACTTCGCTGGCTGCCGAAGCTGCACAGGCAGTGACTGTGAGCTGGATGGGCTGCAGGAAGCACCCACCAGGAGACAAGGGCTGGCGGTGTTTCTAGGAGTAAAGGCGGCTTTGAACTTCACCTCCATTACCACCAGGCCACCAGTCACACGGGTAGCTTTTTGGTTTCCGTAACGCCTCCGCTATCTGCTGTCATCAGGAATGACAGTGTCCCACAGAGATGAAATTCACATTTGCCTGTGTGGGTGGCTTGTGGCTTGGGTTGAGGAACCTGCTTCACAGCTTCAGACGCAAATTTACACGAAGTTCTAGAGGTCAGAAGTCCAAACCAGTCTCACCTGGTTAAAGTCAGATTGTTCATTCTGGAAGGTTAGGGGGCCTGTCCTCACCACCTTGTAGCAGCTGCCTGTGCTAGCTCCGGCCTCTTCCTCCTCTGGGCTGTGCAGCTCTCCCCAGCTCTCCTGTGCTCTCCAACTTCCACCCTAACTCTCCTCTTCTCTCTCAAGGGCCCTGTGACGACTCCCGGCCCATCCAGACAATCTAGGGTCACCTTTCCTCTCTAGACCCTCCACTTACTCCTAAAAGGCCCCTTTCCTCCAGAAAAATGAGGTTCACACGTTCTGAGAACTAGGGTGAAGATATCTGTCAAGTGGAAGGGACATAGTCTCTCCCACGTACTGATGGCACTTAGGTTGGTAACTGCCCCGCCTTCCTCTGCCCGTCACACTGAGCAGACTGCTGGCCTGGCGACTTTGGGCCTCTTCATGCGTAGAGAATGATGTGCTGTTTCTCTGAGCCCCTGCGTTTCTTTTTTTAAATTCCTTTTTATTAGAGTATGTTTACAGTACATAATGTTTTCATTCTTGTGTGAGGTTGGCACAGGCCTTAATACATCCATGTTTCTCTTTTCTCTCTTTCTTTCTTTCTTTGGTACAAGGTCCCTTACACATTTCAGACTTGTAGTGGTTCCTCCTGTCTCAGCCTCCCCAGCACTGGGATTACGGTGTGCACTAACAAGTCCAGTTTCAGGGTTGGCAAGGCATGTGGTACCAAGGGTCAAACCTGGGTCCTTGTGCTTGCCAGGCAGGTGCTTAGACCACCAAGCTATCTCCCTGGCCCTGCCTAACACATCTTAATTCCTTTTTGCATTCCCTTGTCTCTCCTCCTTCATCTCTTAATCCTCTTCTCATTGGAGAAAGATGTCTCTCTTCTTACTGTCTTTTATTTTGCTGTTGACTTATTATTTATTGACATTTAAGCCTGTGGGTCTGACTCATTTCACTGAACATTGTGGTCTCCAGGTACATCTGTTTTCCTACAAAGGACTCAAGTTTGCCTTTCTGTGTGGCAGAACCGTCCTCCGTCGTGCGTGAACGCACGTTCTCTTTATCCATTCATCTGCAGCTGGGCGCGCAGGCTGCTCTCAAGGGCCGCCTGCTATTAGGTGTGTGCTGTAACGTGGGTATGAAGGTAGCATTTAAATATGTCTTTAACTCTTTCGGGAAAATGCCCTGACCCTCCAAAATAGAAGACCCAGCCAACAAAGGACAGTGACATGAGGAGACACGTCCCCAGAGAAGTCCAAGTGGCCAGTAGATACATGAAAAAATGCTCAGCATCGCTGGCCATGAGAGAAAGGCAGATTAACACAACAGAGCTGGCATCTTGCCTCAGAAAGAGTGGCCATCATCCGGGAATCAAATGAGAACAAACGCTGGTGAGGATGCGGGAAGGAGGAGCCCTTCTCCACTGTTGGCGGGAGTGTACACTAGGACAGCCGCCGTGGAAACCCATGTGGGGAGTCCTTGGAAAGCTAAAACCAGACATTCCAGTTACCCCAGCACCCTCATTTTTTGTCTGTGAGAGCAGTTATGAAAGAAGGGACCCCCATGTATTCACTGTCTGCTGTGGGCCACACAGCAAGCACCCTTGACCCTGGCTATCATAGCAAACCCCACAGGCGAGGCATCCCCAGAGCCTTGTGTCAGATGAGGTGACTGAGGCAAGACAAAATGCACCTAGGGCCACACTACTGAGAAACCCTCAACTAGGCTTCACCCCCACTCTCGGACCCCTCCAGAGCTCCGCACCACTCGCTGCAGAAAGCTGTTCAGAGCCTGAGCCGCTGAGGTGCAGATGGCATCCTGGATAGTCACTCTGTCTGGTGTGGTGACTCCAGGGCCACACAGCATCTCAGGGAGGCTCGTGCCTGGAGGAGTCACACACGGAGGAGGGCATAGACACTCCTGAAAACAGGCAGCCACCACAGGCCTTTCTCAGTGTCCAGGTGGCAAGCTGAGCCACCAGGGGAGATGGGTCAGTAAAACCTTTAGGGTGTTACACTTTCCTGACCTTTCTTTTCCTTACAGCGTACAGGAATTTGATATTTTGGGCCCTAAAATACTGGTACCCTAGGGAAAGACCGAAGGGGTTCAAGGTTTCTAATTTTCTCAAAGGTTAAAATAATTCTATCTTCTATGTAAATCTTCCTGTCAGGCAGAGGCAAAATAATTATCTTAAATGGCATTTTGCCTAATAGGCAGAGTGAAGCTTTAAATATTTATGACTATTTGTTCAAAACCCTTGAAATTGATTCATACTGTAGTGTCTCCCTAGCCAGTGAGACCTCCTGAGGTGGCAAATGTCACTCACAGAAGGGACTTGGGCGTTGGGACAAGTGCCCGTGAGGGGGGCTCGGATCAGGGCGGCTCCCAAGGGTGGCAGGATGGAGCCCCAGAGAGAGCCTCGAGAAGGCCGTGCGGAGCTGCTCACGGGCTCCTCCTGACGGCTGGCTCTTGCTGCCCCGTGCTCGTGTGGTCGGACACCCCAGCAGCCGGGAGTCAGGCTCCAGGTTTAAGCACGGCTTCCCCTTCTTCCTGGAAAAGGAAGGAGCAGCAGGATAAATGCCACTCTGGGCTGGGGTCCCTGTGCACCCCCGTGCTGCAGGAAAAGCAGAATGTGCAGTGCGGGATCCCCCTCAGCGCCCCACCACAGCCATGCAGAGGCCCCGTCCCCTGGCGCCTCTTGCGCCACGCTGTCCACCGCACAGCAAGCCTTCTGAGCACATCTTGTCCCTCATTACATGTGAGGTCACACAGCCGGTAGCGCACAGAAAGGGACTTGGAGCTGAGGCAGTCCCACCCCAGAGCCCATATGTTGTTTCTACAATCTACTTTGTCTGCACAGCTGTGGAGTTGAAAGCCAGCACTCGCTGTAGACCAGCTTTCCTTTGGCATCTTGGGAGAAGATGGACCTGGTCGTAATCAGAGGCAGTCAGAACATAGGACGGTACTCCAGCGGTTAGGACTGGAGAAGTCCCGCAGAGCCCGAGGGCAAACCAGCACCCTTCCGCCCAGCCCAGCACATTTGTTGTTGCCCACCAAGAGCCTCACTTAGGGAGGCACAGCCAGAAGGGGGAGCCCAGTGGAGACCTGCTAGGGGCGCTGGGCAGGTAGCGATGGGTGAGGGTAGCTTGGGAGAACATGGCTCTGAGGCCAGGGGTGAGGCAGTAGTCCTCTCGGCAGTAACC